TTTTACACGACTACTAAACTGCACCACTAAAAAGCCAAATTCTTCTAGTAACCTACTGCATTAAAAATTAAAGATTTTCAGCTACTAGGCCTATTTTATTTCAAGAGGAACCAGGTGAGCCACATTATGACACCAGAGACCAACAGTTTATAGACAATGTGTCCACAATATGTTTATTTAATTTTAACTTCAAAAACATCTTTAAACCTACAGTGCAGGGACGTGCACAGGGGGGTTGCTCTGGTTGCCCGGGCAACTGCCCGTTTGCCTTTCCTGACTCAAGTTGCCCTTCCGACTCGCCCTTCCGAGAAAAAAAAATAAAATAAAAACATAATCGCGATCGCAAAGCCTCATTCACTTCCATTCGGGCACCGAAAGTGAAAGTCAGTAGGGGAAGGGCAAACTCTGTTTAAGTGGCTGCACTGCTGCAGCGCTGCCTGCACGTCAGTCGATTCTGTTCCCTACCGGAATTCCTGTTTCCTTCCTTTATGCAATCATACTACAACAAATCATGCGTAGTTTTGCCCAGTTACCATACGTGATACTCACCAACAGAAGTGAATACGAGCTAGAAGCGCAACTGAATGTACGGGAAGCCAAAAGGTTAAAAAAGGATTGTATTTTTTTCCGAAATCTAAGCGTTTTTTTATTTAATATTTTATTAGAAGCGAGTTTTCCCCATCTGTCAATTCAATCTAGATTATTTATTTTCAAATAAAAAAAAAAAGGAAAAAAAATAAAAAATAATAATGATTAAAAAAAACAATAAACAATAATATAAGGAACTCTTTTTCTCATATGTATTTTGGTGACATTTATATTGTTAATACATTTTGGATACTGTGTTTAGTGCCTTTTTTCAGGTCAGAGCAACTGCCCTTCAAAATTCCTGTGCACGTCCCTGCTACAGTGGATCGGCTACATTCAATGTTCGTGAATGTAGCTTGATAGCTCAAAATTTGACCTGCAAAATCTAATTGGACTTCATAATCCCAGACTCAACATTTTGTAGGACTTGCTCTTATACAAAATAGAAAGATGGCGTTTTGAAGTCATATTTTGAGTTAAACTGGATCGAATCTCCTTTCGCACTGACTAAGGTCAGTCATTAGTCGTTGTATCACTTTGTCCCCAAAATGTATAAATCTGGGCAGGACTACAAGTCTGATATTTAAGTTAAAAAATGAATGACAAACTGATAACTAATAAGCCTAGCATTTTGAGGGTAGGCCTACTGGGTGAAAACAGATTGTTCAAGTGTGCAATGTGTGCCTGTGCGCGCGCGCGCGTGTGTGTGTGTGAGGAAAAAGAGAGTGGATAAAAACTAACACGCGCACCACGGATAGGCTACTGTTGTGTCTCCGTCTCATCACACCTGCGCGCGCCTCTCTCTCTTTCTCTCTCTCTCTCTCTCTCTCTTCGCCACTTCAATGCTCTACTTGAAAGTGTGCTCGAGACAAGAGTTGTTGTTCTTTCTGCCTTGTGGTGCCACGCGCCGAGCATCATCACCAACATGCCTCGAGGATTCTTGGTGAAGAGAAACCGGCGATGTTCGGCGTCATACCGGTCACGAAATAATAGTACCAACAAACCTGTAACATATGACGGGGACAGGAACAACAGTGAGAACTCTGAAGTGACACCGGAGGCAGTGAAGGAGAACGGTGTGTTTCCGTTTGAACGGCCGGATGGAATGCTCCCGGTGTCCCGCGAGGACTCCGCCGGTGTCAGAGATGCGTGGAGCCCGCACGTGGAGTCCGCGCTGGAGGCGGAGGCGGACCGACGCGCGCAGTTACCAGAGACCGAGGAGCAGTTGAGCGAAGTGGACGTGTTGACTCCCGATAGTGATTTCTCCTGCTTCTTCCCACATCCTCCTCCGCATCCACGCGACTTGACATTAACTGAATCCTGCAGCCCTGTTAAATCCGTCGGCACGAGACTGTTGGAGCGGCACGAGGGAGCAGAGAATCAGCCGTTATTCCCCGGCAGGTGCCTGACATCATCCCCAATGTCGGAGTTACCGGAGCTGCCCTTCCTGGTGAGCTCCACACCGACCTCGGTGTCCGCTTCTATCGAGAGGCTCCTCGCGAGCAGCAGCCACGCGCCGTCCTACGCTCACAATGACAAATATGACACGAATATGGGTCATGTGCACTTATTCCCGCCACTGACACTGATGAACCAGGAGCAGCATCACGTAGCGAGAAAACGCTCGTTCCTTGAACCGGATCAATGCTTGAACAGCAACAGACACAACAAACAGTCCGTGGGCAACCCCCCAAAGAAACCCAAAGTGAACCGGAAACTTAACTTCGAGGATGAGGTCACGACCTCGCCGGTTTTGGGTCTGCGGATCAAGAAGGAGAGTCCCGAGCTGAGGAGACAGAGGGAGAAGTCCTCTGCTCCCACCGGCAATCAGCCGCTGGGAGAGTTCATCTGCCAACTTTGTAAAGAGGAGTACCCCGATCCTTTCTCCCTCGCTCAGCACAAGTGCTCCCGCATAGTGCGCGTGGAGTACCGGTGTCCCGAGTGCGACAAAGTCTTCAGCTGTCCCGCCAACTTGGCCTCCCACCGCCGTTGGCACAAACCTCGTCCGGTTAACAACCAAGGAGGAGAGACTCTGACAAACAAGAGCCAGTCTTTAAAAGAGGCACGAGGGCTCATTCAGCACGAGAGGCAGCCGGTGGAGATGGAGGGCAAAGAGAACGAGCTGCTGCGCATAAACACTAATCAGCACCACGGAGCGCAGGACAGTTCCCGCATCAGGCGCGAGCCGTCCCTGCTGCTGCTCCACGGTCGTTCACGGGACAGCCCCGACAGCGACGGCCTCGCGCCTCCTCACTATGATTCCTCTCTTCATTACCGGAACCCGGCTGAAAGTTGTCTGGACCTACAGCAGCAGGTGAGAGCGGCAGACAGCCCACCCTCGAGTCTACTTCTGCTGAACGGCAACTCAAACGAGCGAGCGCACCTGCCGCAGCAGCAGCCGCCGTCACTCCCGCATCCTCCTCAACCGTTTGCCCAGTCGTTACCGGAGGAGGAAGTGTACGAGTGCCGGTACTGCGGGAAGAAATTCCGTCGACAGGCTTACCTAAGGAAACACCTGGCCGCACACGAGATGACAACCCGTGCGTCTTCGCCCCCATCATCTTATGGCCAGGCGCGCGAGACCAGTGGCGGACAGAGCCAGGTGTTCCTGTGTCACCTGTGCGGCGCGCGCTTCCCGTCGGTTGAAATTCGGGACAAGCACCGTCTGTGGCACGCGATGAGGGACGAGTTATTGGCGGGAGCACTGGGAGGGGGACTCAGACCAGACGTATTCCACGCGCAAGTAGAAGAGAGCGGCACCGGGGACCGCGATCAGCAGCAGATCTTCACGTGCAAGCACTGTCCTTCCACGTTCTTCAGCTCCCCGGGGCTCGCGAGACACATCACAAAGTCTCATCCCACCGAAAACCGGCAGGTGATGCTGCTGCAGATGACAGTGCGACCATAAAACACGCGCGAGATCTACACTCAAAAAAGCCTACAGATTATTCGGGTAAATTAGGCCGACCAGCCACTGACTGACACTACAGGGAACATTATAACGGTCGACATTAGTTGTTCTCATTCACACTGAAGAATAGGCTACATTTATTTCAGCTATGGTTCTATTGTCAATTCGGACCGACTGTTTCAGTTGCGGTCAAAAAGCAAAACGTTGATTTCCGTGTGTTATAGAATAGGGTTGCCGGCTGACTCACGGTGCCCTTTATTTAAAGGTCAGTAAGCATCTTGACTTCTAAGTTATTTCACAAAGGTCCAAATATGACATACTGGCGCTACTAGAAGGATGCAAGTGCTGTCCGTGGTCCTGAAACCGCTGTCAGTTAAACCGGAACTGTCCATTACTGAAACTTATACAAATAAACCACAACCCTGTCCATGGTGCTGAACCATGTCTGCAATCACAACATGACCAGTGAATGATTGAAGATGTTAGCTTATTAAATTTAATAAACCAACAGCAGGATTATTATGTTAGTAATTTTAAACTGGAGGGAAGTGACCCTTATTCAAAAGGCTGTTTCTTTTGTTGAAATCCTATAAATCCTATGAAGAACACACAGTATCTCTCAATCTTTCATTTGTTATTATAAGGCGTACAGTGAGTAATACAATCATCAAAAAGGATGCCATCTCTTTTCAGCTTCTTATATTACAGCACTGTTAATGATTTAATATTAAAACACAGACACTCATCTGTTGGTAGTTAGAGAATGGGACCCACTGACATTTGAAAGTATGGGCATTTTGATTATGACTAATTATAGTGAGAGGAAATAATTTTACAAAATGCTGAAGCAATGATTGACACAGTCTTCTCTACATGTGGCAGACATTTACATTCATGGTCAAGATAGCCTTTTTCTTTGGCAAAGTAATTGGATTATACTGAAGCTCAGGAGGAGTCATGTGTGTTACATTACTTACTGGTGTAATATATAGTGACCTGTTATTACATTTAGAAAGTGACCTTCCTCACCCCAAGAAGTGGAGACAGAATCAATGTTCTGACTCTATTTCAAAGACTATTTCATGTACAGTGAACAATAAAGAAAAACAAAAAGAGAAATCAGACAGACCATAATATGCCTTTTATAGTAAATGTGCCAGTAAACTTCTCAGCTATAACTATTTTCATACAGAAATGGAACATTTAATGTTAGTACTGCTAGTAAAAAAAAAGTCTTTTGTCTTTACTGATTATAAATGACTGTTGAAATATTTACTAAATGCCTTCATGATGCTAAAAAATATAATTGTGGTTCTATGAAGCCTGTACAGGACTATTTTGATATGTTTGAGATTGGATGTGAAATGTATTCTAAATTATTGTCAATAAATGTTAATACAGTATGATCAATGATGTGTCCTGCCCCGTCAACATATTGATGCGGTTCCAAAGCTGGTGTACACACAAACACAAACGTCCAGTATATGAATTGGTCCGGGACTCAGTGGTACGAATGATTTATTGTTACATTCCATCAACGCACATCAACGCTCTCTGTGTGTCCAAAAGAGACATTACACATTTACATACTACAGGTCTGACAGTAACATTGTTTTAGGAGTGTGTGTGAGCGAGCGTACGTGTGTGTTGTGATACAGCTGTTACGTGATCAACACATGCAGTTAGTACTGAACTGGTGTCATGCAGTATGTACAGTCAGCAGTTACACAAATCAGCTTTGTTCCAAACTAATGTCTGAACAACAGCTGTCCAGTAACCTGTATCCATCACAGGCCTCACGTTCAGAGAATCACTGTAAGTAGGGACATTTCTGCGGTTGATGCAGACCTGTAGAAGAAAGGGGAGTTCTCAGGAGTATTTTAAATAAGTAAAACAAATTTTAAGTATGAAATGTCCCATGTTTTCCATGGGACATAAAAAGCAGCATCATGACTTGAGTAATCATGTGGACTCCCTGGTATTTTAATCCAGTGAGTATAAAGAAGTGTGAACAGGGTGTTGCTGTGTGGTTTAGGTACTTTGACGGGGTTTAGGCTGTACCTCAAACAGTTTCAGGTTGTCAAAGTGTTTTCAGGATGTAACCAAGCCAACAGCCGGTGACTGGCAGGTGGGCTGTAGTCCATATACAGCATGTATAGATCTGTCCCAGAGTGCAGTGGGGCTACTACAGCCTCAATCAATCAGCGGTGCTTCAACCTCAGCAATAACAGTTATTGTAACAGCAATAATTTAAAAGGAACAACTCAAATCTCAGCTGACTTCAAATATTCACAAACAAAGTGACAAAACATGAATTTGACCTCATTTTACAATGGCAAATATGTAAAAGTTAACCATTTCAACCCCATGGATGGGTCAAAATAAAGGAAAAAAGTCTTACAATACCTTTCCTCTCTACAGAGCATCTATGGCTAAAAAAATAAAACAGTAACAGAAAATACAGCTGTGAATACACTTACTTCAAGTAGTTCAGCATAATGCAAAACCTTAAACTCAGATCTATTTTTTTCTATCGCATATGTATGTTTCCTTTACCAGGGATCAGGCTGCGGAAAAAGGAAATTAGGGAGACGCGGGGAGAAAAAATCCGTATCATGTAAAATAATTGGAAGAACGTTCAATCCAGATGAACACTGGAAAACCATGGCTGTGACATAAAACCTTGTCAGTTTTTATTTGAATTGACTGGACATAAGGAGTGCTGAAATGAGGACGTTAAATACATACAATGGTAGTGTTAAATTTTGTGCGGATTGTTATTACATGCGTCTCCCCTCCATCCAGAACTGGAACTGGGCATGAGTCTAAATATAAGAGCGGAGTAAAAAAAAAAGAAAAAAGAAGACTGAACAAAGCACAAAACCATTTATATCTACTAAGTTGACATCTCTCCCCTTCTTTGGCCTTGTATCTTTAGTGTCCATCTTTTGTACACCTTGCTTTTCTTCCTCCTGCCCCCACTAAGGTGGTGAAAATTAATAACCAATAACAGCCCACAACTAACCCTGCCTTGAGAGACACTGGGCCTCATTTAGTAATATGTCAAACAACAAAAAAAAGGAGGAAAAGTATAATATATATATATATTTTTTTTTTCCTCTAATTTCCCCAATCTTACAATGGTACCATGGTTATATATATATATCAACAGTAAAAAAAAAAAAGAGTACATAAGCTAAAACAAAATTACCTTCAAATTCCTGGAGAATTAAGTGCAAACCGGTTATGAAAATGTCGAAGCATAAAAGTTTGTAGTGTCAACCCATTTTAAGCAGATATGTCTGAAGTTTAACCACAGTTTGGCTTTGGCAGCTATTCTCACATAAAAGTATACACACAACAAGCCTCCTCACACTGTACACATTCTTATAGATATTAATTTATCTACTATATATATATATATAAAATACACACTCAAACATATATAGATATACAGAATTAGTCAAAAGAAAAAAGGAAGAAAAGCTGTGGTCAGATGATGAAGCGACACCGAACTTAAACAGAAACATTCTTCTTCAGGTCAAATCACATTTTACAGTCAATTTTGCAAAAATGAAGAAAACAGAAGTAAAGTAAATGCAATGAATATCAGTGCTTGTTCATGTTTTACAGCATGAGCAAAAAAAAAAAAGAAAGAAATGAAAACTAAACTTTACTACTAAACTTTTCTATAACAAGTGCTTCCTCTTTTATCAGTATGTCTTGTTTATATTTTTTTTACAAAGCACCTTCCTCTCCTTTATGAAAGACAAACAATCCCTCCATCATTACTTTAACACTGTTTCTCACATCGCATCACAAAAGGGTGAGCTTTCAGTCCCATGAGTTCAAGCAGGGGATTTTCTTCTAGATTCACACACACAGAAATTTTTGGCTAGAGAGCGTTGCCACATACACTTTTTTTAAAATTGTTAGTAAATGTATGAGTTTCTATTTACATTATATGAGGACTGAATAGAAACTGACTCCTGCCCTTATCGTTATAGGCCTAATGCAGTACTGAGAACAAAAATAGACTTTTATCCTGCTTTCTCCATGCAACACTACAGGTGCAATCACTCGGGATTCATTCTTTTTATATCAAAACTCATATTTCTGTCTGTACACACACTGACTATAGTACAAATATACAGATTCTCCAAAGCAATGTTCAACAACACATGGTTTTCTCTTTGTTCAGCAGTTTTATCTCATTTAATGCGTTCTCCACGAAGAACCGTGTATAATGTGGCACACAAGCTTTTTGCGGTTCTGCTTATGGAGTTTGGGCAATTTCTAACATGGCACAGATTATTCTGAACTAATACTGCACTGCTTAGGATCCACTGGTTCAGCTGGTTTCTGTAGTTTTTTGGAAAGCAAAGCTAAGGATATATTCAGTAGCTGTGAGCAGTTTCAAAATTAAGTTACAGTATAATATAGTCCACAGAATACTATGTGTTTTTGAGAGTACAACTGTGTACAATGTACATAATAAGCCGGTGTTCAATCAGCTCCGCAGCATGCTGGGGGAGATGGGATGAAATTTTACTGACCTCCCTGATGTTTACACTTATTCTTGGGAACACCACCTATCAACAGTTAAATTTAATGTGTCATGTTTGATTTCTTTTAAGTACAATTGTAGACCAGATTTCCTCAAGAGAGACTTAAAAGTCTGATTGTTTGACCAGACATGAAGTGTCTTTTCAGAATGGTCCATGTAGTGTTGAGAGCTTAAGTCTTATTGGCCGATCCAGAGGAGCGCCGCAGCTTCATGGACATGCGGCTCTTGCTAGTCCGAGGAGACATGGGGGATGCCGAGTCGCTCCCGGCCTCCCCAAGAGCCGGACTTTCTCCCCGAAGAATCTCTAGGCAGGAGCCTGAAGAGGACGAGGGAGACGGAGAAGGGGGAAGTGTGAAGGGAGGATGGGTGAGGTGGTGGTGGGGAGTGAGGGGGAGTGGATGGACGGGGGAAGGCAGGGATAAAGGAGAGGAGGGAGGAAGTAAATACGAGCAGAAAGGGATGAAGGGACAACAAGAAAATTACATCACACCCCATCATGTTCTATTTAGCGAGGCTGCACAACCTCCTACAGTCACACGGGCCGAATGACACACACACACACACACACACACACACACACACACAGACAGCTAGAAAGACAGGCAACATACAAGCTCTATTTTCTCAATTTTTATTCTATTCTAGGTTCATTCTCGTTCCATACAAAACACTACACTAGCTCAAAGGAACGGAGACTTGATACCAAAACGGACCCTTCCACTCCATTTACTTGTACGCTGGAGAAACTACACAACTACACATCTAAACAGACCTCTGAGATGGTATAAGTCATTAAAAGTTATATAAATAAACTTGTATCAGATGTTTAACACCTGCCTTTTGCTAAATACACATGATGTAAAGGCAGAACATGCTTGGCAGCTATTTGAATTTAGTGAGTACGCAAAAGAAAAGTGCTGATGCAGCACAAACTGCTCTTTATCTGCACTTTCAATGTCAGGTGGTTGTCTTGCGGAGCTCTCATTGCTGGTCTGTGTTCAGCAATCAGGACACTGCTGTTACCGTTACGTTCGCTATAAATTGGTCCAGAGTTCCATCATAATGTCAGCAAGTAAAGTAAATGCATTTTTGTCTTGTCACAGTTTTTTAAATGTAACATTTGGAAACAGATGTAAAGATAATGTACATCAGGAAGAGGACCTAAACTGAGTTTCTATCTGCAAAGCATACCATTCACAGCTAGCATGAAGGACCTTCTGCTTCAGACCTTTCCCCTTCACCCTGAGCAGGTTAAAGCTGTCTAGTGGTTTAGGTACCATCAAATACATAGCATTATGCTCCTCTAGAGGAGGTGAGGAAAGAAAAGGAAAAGGAGGGTAAGGAGAGGACATGCGAGGAAAGGAAAGGACAGGAGATGAGAGGAGAGGACAGGAAAGGAAAGGAGAGAAAAGGAAAGGAGAAAAGAGCAGAGGAAAGGAAAGGCAAAGAGAGTAAGGCAAAGGAGGGCCAAAAAGAGGCAAGATAATAGAAGAAAGGAGGATACAGGAAAGAATGAAACACCAGAAAGGAGAAGAAATAAAATACAGGGAAAGAGAGAAAAGAGAAGGTATAAAAAGAGGGAAAGACAAAGGAGAATTTCAGGAGCGTGAAGGAGGGACAGTCAGAGAAAATAAAGACAATAGAAAAATGAATAAAAAATAATGTTGCCACAAGTGTAAAGAGAAAAAATGTCCAACACATTAAACAGACAATGGAAAGACAGTAGACACAAAGAGTGACAACACACTGTACACACCATGTACACATATATGACAACATTTTAACTACAGTGTTTATGCTTAATGTTGCTTACAGCCACCACTAAGTTACTTATTTCAAATGTAACAAACAACTTTACTGAAGAAGAAACAAAACTTTAATGTTGGTGGACCTACATTAGATATGCTTACCCATTTTAAAGTATGTGTCAGTGTGTGTGTGTGTGTGTGTGTGTGTCTGTGTGCGCAGTGTTACACTATATCAAAACCAGGAAGAGAGGAGCATACAAAAGGTTAGAGGTAAAGTTTCACCAGGTCAGCGTGACAGCGCAGGTTAACGGAACAAACAGGAAAATTACTGAGTGAGCGAACAGACAAAAGAGCAGAAATCTCACACTGTTATAAAAAGGAAGTCTCCCTTTCATAGTACCACTGAGTGTAGTGTGGTATGAAGCATAAAAAAAAAGCTTGAAAGCCTCTCGGCATGCATGAGGAAACTTTTACCAGCATCTCGGAGGGTGTACATGACAGTTCAAATGGAGCTACATAAGAGCTTAAAAAAATAATTTGTACAAACCTAGTTTTCATGTGTGATTCAGTTAGCCTTATACGTATTAAAGAGGCAATGTGCTGTTATTTTTTAAAGAATTCCTTGTCAGTCTGCATCAGCGGCCTGGTTTGCTTAAATATGTCTTTAAGAGTTTGTTGGCCACTGTAAGGTGAGTGCGGCCACTGCACTGATCAATATTTTTTAAATCAAAATGAGATCAAATGACTATGTGTAATGTACTGAATCCACATCCACACAATTTTCACCATACTCTGCATAGCATTTTAGACTTTATCAGCTCAGTGTTTTGGTTTTCACAACTGCTGCAAACATTAGTACAAAGTATGGAATTAAGCAGCTAAAGACGCAGACTCTTCCCTCAGGAGTTGGTGGAGACGTATTGGTCATTTATTAATCACCTGGGTGCAAACACAGCTCCTAATGATCGCTAATGTTGCTCTGCTAGATGCAGCTGTTTGCTAACATGTTTGCCATAACTTTATAAAGGAGACAATATGTCAGTGTTTTGTTAAAAGCATTTCTGCTTGACCCAAGTGGCCAAAACCTGAATGCAGGTTTAAAATAATCACGGAAGCATTAAAAAGGGAAGAGTTAGATCAATTAAAGAGGTCCACTTCTCGTAGGCCAGTTATCAGTCTAAATGACAATTAAGAACAAGAGCTGGGATATAAATCTGATCAACCAGGCGGGAGGAGGGCGGGATTGACATTACACTGACACTGCATAATGAAGCTGCACATTTTTGAGCTAAAAAAATAAAAAATAAAAATCTCACACTCTGCCACCGTTGTTAACTCGCAAACCATAATGAGTCCTACCAAACTCCACCCATTGATGAGCTGAAAATGACACTTCCTTTTTAATAGTACAGAACTATGAAAACATGCAGACCTGCTTAAACTGTGGAAAACACAGAAGAGAAAACCAGAGAAAACACAATACGGTGGAGGAATTGGAGGAGAGCATAGGTTAGGCTGAAATGTCAGTAGGAAGAGCCAGTCAGAACGGGGCGTGTCAATCATGTGACCAGGCTTACCTTTTTAGCTATAGGCAAGTGAGACATTACGATCTAAAGGAGGGGGAGGGGAGAAAAAAAAAAGGACGAAATAAAAAGAAACAAAAAATACAAAAACAAAAATAAAATGACAAAATAAAAAAATAAAAAAGAGGAAAAGCAAATCAAACAAAAAGAAAAATAAATAAAATAAATGAACAAAATAAGAGACATTAAAATAAAAACAGAAAGAGAGAAGAATGTTTGATCATTGTGCTGTTAAGGGAGGGGAACCTGTAAATTAATATAGGGAGAGGGAGGGGGTATAGATAGAGAGGTAGAGAGAGGTAGCAGTAGAGAGACAGAGAGAGATGGGGTGGGTGGGGGATGGTTGAAGTAATTTGCGCAAGGTTTATTTCAGAGCACAGAATATGTCCCAATTTTGTGGAAAACACAATCTGAATTCTGAACACTGGACATGATATGCATGCCAGGACTTGTATATCTTAGGCAAAATGAGAATTGGAAGTATTGCAATGAGAAGCCCGATTATCGTATTATATGACTAACTTTTTGATCCCGTGTTCTGAAATTACATTTGGGGCTGAACAACACACTGACAATCCAATAAAGAGTAACAAACGATATTCTAACAGGGGATTTGAGTACCATACAAAATTCTGAATGAACATTTGGGGGAAATAACAGCGTCCCAGGTTGTGTTTAATGTTGTTCAGCCACAAAACATGTTGGTTATTACTGCATAATTATTAATATCTTTGACAGAATAGCTGGTGAGATGGAGAAAAACAACAGTAATCAATTACACACATATTTGAACAAACACTCACAGCCACACCTCTGCTTCACCAGTAAAGAAAAACAGTAAAACATTATGTCACGGTTTCCCTATATACTTTAATACATTGATATGTGACTAACACGGGCCTCCGTCAGTGTTCCTTTGTGCTTTATAATTAATACCTCTTGGAAGAAAATGTGTGGCTTGGCTGCAGATTTAATGATTGTAAATAACTGCCCTGCCGAATAATTTGATTGCGTGTAAGTCAAAGGATGCTACACTGTTTTAAATTACACTTAACCAGGCACATTACAGACAGAAATGATTAGTATCCGTCTAACAAACTTAACAGGATACATATGAGAGTCATACATTAGAATATAACTCCCATGTGCATGTCTGGCATCTCTACGGCTGATCAGATGTCAGCTAATGCTCTGGAGACCGAAGGAGGCTGAGCACAGCTTTGGACAGAAAACAGGACTCGTCGGATACAAGACTGGGGAATCAGCTGACCGTGTGTGTGTGGCGACTCTGTAGTTCAAAGGCAGAGAGACACTGGAGGGTTGGTAGTTCACAATCCAACATTATTGTATTGTTAGCTAGCTTGAGTTTGTTTGTTAGGATGCAATCCTTACAGTTCTTTATAGTAAATCATTGGTGAACTAATCTATGTAAGTGAATCCAGGAAAAAGGAATATCCCAAAACCACAGTGTAATGTGTAACGCTAATCTGTGTGAAAGTGTAGGTTTTTCTCATCAGTATCTCATTAGAACTTGGGGCACACACACACATTCACCAAGAATTCAGAATTTATATTTATATTTAGTTTCTATATAATGTATGTTTTAATGGCACTTGCCTTCAGCGTTCTACATTATCCTAAAGATTTGTGGTAAGGCACTAGACATAGCAGGAAAATGTGTCTCCAAATTAGGCCATTTTGACTGGTTAACAAGCACTTTTCCATCCGCACTAGTTACCACTTCCTCATAGTCTGCGACCGAGGTTTTGATTGACAGGTGCAGCTGTTGGTGTGGTCTAATATTTGTCTGGGTACTGGATGTTTCACTGAGCGAAAGGTTGTGTCTTACCTGTGTCAGAGGGCAGGTGTGTGCAGGGAGCAGGACTGTAGACTCGGGCCGCGTAATCCTCAAATGTGGTTGGCTCCTGGTGGTGCTGCACGATGGTTTCTAGGTATCGTGCGCGCTCCTCATAGCTGTAGTCAAAGGTCAAGGTCAAACCCCCCCCCCAAAAATAGATACAGATACCAACAGTGCACTAGAGGAGCAAAAAGACAAAAATATGTATCAGATGGTGATAGGTGATACAATCTTTACCCAATCATATAAGAAAACATGGCCATAAACTTAGCTTGAAACCTCCACAGTAGCTGCATTGGAATCTTGATAAGAAAACAATTAAAACAACAAAATCTGCCAAAGAAATGCCAGTAGTTAAGTGTTAAAGGGGCACTCCACATATTTTATATATAAAGGTCATGATACTGGTCATAACGAATACTCCTCAGTCTGTGAAACTGTATAATGAATTAATAAATAATAAATCTGAACACACCTTAAAGGTCACATTTGATGCTAATTTGTCTCATGAATGGATCTGTGTAACATAGGACCTCCTCCAGCCCTAGTGATCAGTGAATAAAGTTATAAAGTTGGGTTTTTGTACAGTAATCTGTGAGGCCCAGGTGCCAGAAACACTCCGCTCCAGCGGCATCTTATCGTTTTTTCAACCTAATTCTTGTCTCATTTGTGGTTTGATTAAAATTAATCAAATTCAGTGCCCCATATCACTATATTCCAAGTTCAGTTATTGTAGCAGTCATTGCCATCAAGCAAACCGGCATGAGGATGAGGCGATTTGGACCATGAGCACTGGTTGCTGCCTAGTAATGCATAGCCAGACCTATCTCCACATCGTTTCAACACAATGCCAGCTTTTTGCTGCCCCTCAGGAGGCTTCCAGAAGTTGGCCAATTTGAAGAAAGTGGGTTTTCAGGGAGGGGGGCCTTAAAGAGACAGTTTAGAGAGAGAGAGTTTAAGAAAAATAATGCATTTTTTGAGCATTAAAGTATGTAAACAGTCTCTAGTAGACACCCAAAATGTATGGGTAAAAAAACAAAAAAACTAAACCTGAAAGTGAGCATAGTGTGGGGACACTTTTTGCAACGCTGGCTAGTTAACTCCATATACCTACTTTTCCATGTGAATCTACAAACAATGCTGTGGCCAAAATAAATAAATATATAAAGGAAACCCTTTTATCACTGCTATTAGAGCCTTCAGCAATGAATTCAAAGAGAGAGGCACAGAGAGCGGAGTAAATGGAAACCAGGACTTCAACTGTCCATCTATTAGAGATAACCTCATTGATAGAATGTCATTTACCCTCTCTTCCTTAGTCCTACTCATACATCCAACCCTAATGAAAGCCATACGCAGCCGTTACAGTCTCTTGAACACACACACACACACACACACACACACACACACACACACACTCCCAATAGTATTACCATTTGCTGAGTGAGCTCCAATAACCGATGATTTTCAATGAGCAGAGTGTGTGTGTGTGTGTCTGTATTTGATAAGAGTGGTTGTGAACCGGCACAATGTGTGTATGTAAGTGCATGTGTCCCTGTTTGAGTGTGTGATGGGATTAGGCCAATGAATCTTCAGAATGAAATCTGTGTGTTTGTACCTCGGTGTATGTGTGCGTTGTGAATGGGTCGGCCATCTGTAATAGCGCCCATGGGTTTTATATTGGGTTAGAGAGATGGTCTATGAGCCTCAGAAGGAGAAAGATTCAGGTCTAATGGTAACTGATCCAGTTAGAGACAATGATAATAACAGCAATATGGCTCCTTTAAAGTGGAGGGACAGACTGCACTGGTAGAATTAAAGAGAAAGGAGGAGGGTTGAGATGGGAGGAAAAATCAGAGAGGAAGAAACTTAAAGTATGGACAGATGATGCAAATTGTCATTTTACTAAAATTACTGATACTTGATTTCACAGTAACTTCAAGGCTTTAAGATCTAAAAAATATCAGTTATTGCTTCAAAGATCCTTTTCAAAACACTTCATATCATACTTAAATCATACTGACAAAGGCAAGGACAAGAGGGGGAACTAGTCAGAGAGGGAACAAAGGTGGTAGAGAGGGAAGGACAGACGTTAAGAGGTGCAAAGAAAGCAAGATGCTCAGGGAGTAGGAGAACTTGTAAAAAGATGGGGGGAATAGTGAGGGTGAAAAGGAAGAAGGGTGAGAATCCTGCAGCAAGTCACGGAGGAGGCGAGAGGGGAGGACAGCGGGTGAGTTGGGGAAGGAGGATATTTAAGCAACAACACAATGTGGTGTGTGTGAGTGTGTGTGTCCGTCTCCCGGAGAGGAGCTGAGAGAAGAGCAGCAGTCACACACAGGGCGTCAAGCCAGTGTCTCTCACATTGAGTCTCTATGTGATTTCCCTCTTTTCCGCTTCCCGCTGGTTAATGAATGAATGTGTGTTTGTGTGTGTTTGAGACAGAGGGGGAGAGATGTGTGAATCTAATGCAATTAGGAAGAAGAACTATTACATACACCGGCAAACATGACATAATGAGGGGAAAAACAAAGAGTACACACAGACTGCAGGTTTGAAGAAATGCACTGCCATATAAAAAGGACTGTTTCGTAAATTTCTGAGAAGGTGAATAGGGTTAAAGGACACCTGCAGTAGGGACAGAAATCTACAAAAGCCGGGGAAAGTGAAAGAAAGAACAAGGAGAATACACAGACATGGTACCACTGCTGAGATAAATGCCAAGAACATCACTTTACTTTTCTTCACTCATTCTCCACCTGCCTCCTCTCTATCTCCCTCCCTCTCTCTTCCTCTCAGCATGGGTTTCTGCCCCGTGGCCTTATGTCACCATGTCACAAACACCAGCTCCCCACTAGGGGGAGGGAACATGAGGAGGGAGACGGAGTCACTCCTAATGCAAAACTGTTACATGAGCAGTAATACCACCATCATATGTGGAATATTTTAAGGACACACAAGTGTTTTCCATCACTCTTGCTAATTAGACCTCTAGCCAGGTTGCAGTTGGGTGGAGCTATGATGGGAATTAGGTAGGGCTGGCACGAATGTCATTTTATGAGCTTCGACAGTAATTAATAGAAAATAATCAAAGCTTCGACGGCGGCGAGGGTTCGCATAACAGTCTTGTTACACCGATTGTTTAGACATCTGTTGATAAGCAGGCTGTCATTTCACGAGCTACAGCTATGCATTTCATAGATAGAAGCAGAACAGCAGAAGAAGGATGAATGCCCATGAAGTTCTGCCAATGACACGAGTGACGGAGAATCGGATGGGGGAGAGATAACAGCGGGCATGAGTGGGATAAGTCTGTCTGTCTGTCTGTCTGTCTGTCTGAGTGAGAGAGAGAGAGAGAAAGAGAGAACAAGAGAGAGGATGCTCCGTTCCTTTATGCTCATAGCGTAGGCCACCTAAAAAAGTTTTTATTACCAAACTTTGTTTTTAACTTTGTTACGGCTAGCCTAGTAGACCCAAGTGCAGGACAAAGAAAGGGTTTGATAAAAGAGGAATATTTATTGCAGGGTTGAAAGATTAGATGCTGCAGAACCGGGTTGGTGTCTACTGTACAGAGCAGGGGGGGAACATTTGCTGAGAGTGTGAGAAGCTGAGCTGAGCAGGCCCAGAGCAGACTACGGGAATACTTTAGCCAGGCACGGCTCCAGGGAGAGCGGACGGGATAAAAATTAGACAACACGCTATTATGCAAAATGCACTTTTAACTTTTATTATAGCGTACTAAATGTTCTTCTTCTACAACAGGACTAATACAATAATTTAAATGTGTTCATTAGGTTGTTGTTTGTTGCGACTTTTTTGATCTGTAACAAAATTAAGCAAAATGAATAAACCCCATAACTGCCACACTGCAGTTGCCATCACTCAGTTTAAAGTGCTCCCACACAGCTGAGGGCTTCACTTTGTTTTCCCTTTGTGAACTGGAGTGTTACGTTCACTGCTGTGAGTGGAGGTCAGGCGTGCGAAAAAAAATCCGGCTCTCGTGATTGAAGCCAATGTGGATGTAACTTAAAACGGCATTCTTTCTAATGGCCAGCAGGGGGTGACTTCTGTGGTTGCAAAAAGTGCGGTTCCATTAGAAATAATGGCAACATGACCCTACATCTGACCTCATTTATTACCTCAGTAAACACTTTCAGAATGAGTTCTCAATCATTAGTTTCAAGTCTTCTTCAATACAACATGATGTTCATTTAGTAAATTATGGCTAGGGGAAAATAGACAATAAAGCAACGTATGCTTTAGGGCAGAGGTCGGCAATAGGTGGCTAGATTACTTTGATAGCGGCAAAAAATAAAATAAAAATAATAAATAGTAAAATAATAAAAGACTGGTGCTGAAACAGATCTCAGTCATGACAGCAAAAGTTACTCACAATATCACTTCCTTTTAAGTGATTGTGCCTACAAAATAAAAGTGCTAAAAGATCGTTTTTGCAGCTTTATGTTCTGTTTAATTGAGAGCTTTTACTTTGAAAAGTTCAAAAGAGTCTCTGGCTTGCTTGACACACCTCTGAAAAAGCCATCAGAAAACGTGAGATTTGAGAAAACCAGGAATTGCCTCTGCCTGGAGATACTGGGGAAATAAAAATAAGCTCCATAGCTTGATGTAGACCAATTGCCAGGATGCACACACTCCTGCACATGCTTAATTGTGCTTGATGTAAAACGATCTCTTGAAAATCAATTTGTTGAAAAGGTAGGAAAATATTACTAGCAGCAAACAGGGAGTGAAAGTCCTGAGCACTACTGACTGAGCTAAGGAGGCACGATAGATCATAAATAATTAATTGACGATGTTCTGGCCCACCATCTAATGACTTGAAAAAAAATCAGGCACGAGGCCAGACTTATTTGCCGACCCCTGCTTTAGGGAGACCTGTCACTCAGGCTACAGTAAGTTGTATCCATTGCACTGGGTAGATTTAACCAGCGCCGTTGAACAAGCATATTAGGAGTTGGCTGTTCATTTTTCCGGTAAGTATGTTTTGTTTTAAGCATGTTTTTTGCTAGCCAAAATTAGCATCCTGGTTAAAATCACAGTTAACATGAATCTTGCCCAAATCACATCTGGTGCCTGGATGCAAAAAAATCAACTTGGC